CAGTCCGCATTCTCAACGGCGAGAGCATTCCTGTAAAACACGTGGGTTCGTTCGTGCTACAACTTGGGTTTTGTTTGAAACGAGTTCTTCATGTGCCAGAACTTCAGTGTAATCTAGTTTCGGTGAGTAGACTGACAAAGGATAATCACGTAGCATTGATATTCCTTGATGTTTTTTGCATCATCCAGAACTTACGCTCCAAAAAGTTGATTGGGAAGGGTGAACTCAGAGATGGCATATACTACCTACGCCTGTTTGGAGCTGGAAGGGCGCAGGCTTGCAGTGTGCAGCATAAGAAGTCTATGGAGCTAGTGGATTGGCATGCACGGCTAGGGCACCCCTCGCTGAAAAAACAGTCATATGTTGGTCGTTTGCAGCCAAATAAAGGCCCTTGTCACTCCTGTTTCCGGGCCAAACAGTCACGTCTACCTTTTCAGTCCAGTACTATTAAGACCATGGCCAGCTTTGAACTAATTCATGTAGATCTTTGGGGAGGTTACAAGATTGCATCGTTAAGTGGTGCTCATTATTTTTTGACGATAGTGGATGATTTCACACGTGGTGTTTGGGTATATTTGTTGCGCTATAAGTCAGATGTTGAGAATCATCTATTACAGTTCTTCCAGATGGTTCGGACACAGTTTCGGTCTCGTGTTAGACGTATACAGGCCGATAATGGTTATGAGTTTAGTACAGAGGCATTGCGTAGCTATTATGCCAGAGAAGGCCTCCTCTTACAAACGTCGTGCACAGACACGCCGCAACAAAACGTAGTTGTAGAGAGGAAACATCGCCATATCTTAGACACTGCTCGAGCTCTTCGTTTTTAGGCAAGTTTGCCACTTCGCTTCTCGGGAGAATGCATTCTTACTGCCATTTACTTGATCAACAGATTGCCGACCACTGCCACCAGGAAGACTCCCTTTGAGTTATTGTTCGGCAAGGTACCTACCTATAATCATCTGCTAGTGTTCGGCTGTGTCGTTTACTACAAAGATACCCACGCACACTTGGACAAGTTCGGAGAACGGGGACAAACGGGTGTATCCTTGGGCTATGCAACAAGTCAGAAGGGGTACCGGGTCTATGATTCGAAAACCCGGCGGATCCTCACGTCACGAGATGTCTATTTTCATGAAAACTTGTTTCCATTCCAAGAAGGGGTGCGACGTGAGTTACACTGGATCCCTCGCCACGTGCTTAATGGCACGGATGATCTGCCAACACCAGCAGGGGCCGTGGAATAGGAGCCGGAATCACCATTCGAGTCTCCAAGTGGGGAACGCGAAGTGGAGAGCCTCGGTAATACTTCACCACAGCGAGAGAGTGTTGCGTTGGGCGAGGAGGGTCCAGCAACGATGTCTCCACCTGCTAGCGCGGATCTCCCAGCTGAGGTCGACATGACCAACACCGAGTTGGACAACAATCCCTTGCCAACTCCAGCCGATCCTGGACCAGTCTTGCGGAAGAGTGACCGAGCTCGATCCCGACTTCAAATCTTGTGCAATATCCCTTGGCTGCCAACTTAAGCTACGAAGGTTTTAACCCTCATTTTTGTGCTTTTTCTTGCAGCTATCACCCGCGGTAAAGAACCGCTTTACTTTCATCAGGCTTTCAAGGATCCCCGATGGCGAGAAGCAATGCGTCAAGAGATCTTAGCCTTGGAGAAAAATGGGACATAGAGTTTGGTGGATCTCCCACCTGACAAGCGTGCCATTGCAGCTAAATGGGTGTACAAAATTAAGTACTTCCCGGATGGCACTATCGAGCGATACAAAGCTCGCCTCGTGGCCATGGGCTACACGCAGACAGAAGGGTTAGATTTCCATGACACTTTCGCTCCCGTGGCAAAACTTGTGACTGTCAGGTTTCTCATTGTGGAGCCTGTTAGTCGCGGCTGGGATCTACACCAACTCGACGTCAATAACGCGTTCCTCCATGGAGATCTTGATGAGGAGGTTTATAAGGAAATTCCCCAAGGTTTCCGTACACCTGGTGATACGCGCATTTGTCGGCTTCACAAGTCATTTATGGATTGCGACAAGCCTCTCGCAACTGGTATCAGAAATTCACGGCTGCTTTGACGGAGTCTGGCTTCCGACCCTCGCCTGCCGATGCATCTCTCTTCATCCACAAGAAAGGGAAGTCTTTTGTGGCTGCTCTTATCTACGTTGATGATGTTGTGCTTACTGGTAATGATTTAGCTTTCATGAATAGGCTGAAGAACTTCCTCGATGATCTCTTTAGCATCAAAGATCTCGGGCCACTTCGTTACTTCCTGGGAATTGAATTGGCCAAAAATTCCACAAGAGTTGTCCTTAGTCAACGAAAGTACGTCCTAGATATATTGGAGGATGCCGGAGTCCAAAAGCCTTTCCTATTGAGCAAAACTATCAAATGACGAGCTCGCCGGAGGACAGGCTTGAAGATCCTTCTCTTTAGTGACGGCTGGTTGGCCGGTTGCTCTACCTGACCATCACCCGTCCTGATATCACTTATTCCGTTAACATACTCAGCCAACATGTGCAGGCACCCAGTCAACTACACCTAGACGGTGCTTTCCGAGTGCTATGCTACCTCAAGAACTTGCCCGGACAGGGCCTTTTATTCCCTTCTCAAAATTCCCTGCAGCTCAATGCTTACTACGACGCGGATTGGGGAGGCTGCCAGAGCACCAGGTGATCCACCACAGGCTATTACATCAGTTTGGGTGATGCTCCCATCTCCTGGCGCACGAAGAAGCAACGGGTAGTTGCACGCTCCTCCGCTGAGGCCGAGTATCGAGCCATGGCGAGTACTGTTAGCGAAATTATTTGGTTTTGCGCTGGCTTTTACAGGAACTAGACGTTCTGCAGTATAATCCCACACCCCTACACTACGACAACCATGCGGCACTTTCCCGTTTTCCATGAGATGACCAAACATGTGGAAATGGATTGCTATTTTGTTCGTGAACGAGTCCAGTCTGGTCACATTTTACCGGTTAAAGTTCCTACTGATCTTCAGCTTGCCGACCTTTTTACCAAGGGCCTCGGTGCAGTTCGCTTCCATTTTCTTCTCTCCAAGCTACACTTCGTGATCTCCACACACCAACTTGCGGGGGAGTATTGGGCCGAGACCGTGTCACGGACCCTGCTAGTCCAACCCATCATACGTCTGCTGCCTCAGTGACTAGCCATGCAGCTCACGTACGGACTGTTTCCCTGGAGGAGTTGGAGACTTACTTGGAACATGAAATTGTAACCCTAGTTGATTGTGAAACAGGGTATAAATTGAGTTGTAATGACCTTGTGCTGAGCTAAGCAATAAGATCATCAATCTTTCTCCGTGGATGTACGCCTCACACACCATGAGGAAGAACTACGTTAAACCGAGTGTTATTTAGCTTTCACACTATTTCTCAAGCATTACTTCGTTCACAAAATTTTAATTTTTTGCATAATTGAATCTAACCAATCGTCTACCGATGTCTATCGTGCCTCTTCTTTTAGCTAACAAGCTAAAATCAATTAATTAAAAGCATAAGTTAATTCTGTTGTTCCTTACGAAAAAATCTCCAAGCTTACCATAATTGCTAATCAGCGGAGCCCTTTAAGTTTTCTTTAACCACTGTTCATAACGGAAGTTATACAATGAGAGCAGGTGTACTATAATCCACAACAAGCCTTTAAGTTTCCTAGCAAGTTTATTCTCATCCCCGCAAGAGGAAGGGTAGCCATGTAAAACGACCTATCTCACCATCACTTCTATCATAAAGTCATATTCTCGTGGAATTAGTTGGTATGTAGTTTTTGTGTTACTCATCTTTTACTAATTTTACCATAAGCCTTTTCATATAGTCTTATGTTTAGGTAATTTTTTTGATTTCCCTACACTCAATTTCACCAAAATACAATTATTTTGTAATTCCAATCATTTTGTAATTTCAATTATTTTTTACCTAACATTTTATCCCTTATACTCAATTTCACACTTTACGAGAGATTAATTTGCCTTTTGCTATTTGCATAACACAGTGGCTTTAAAAATTTTATGGTGTTTAATAAGGCCAATAAGTTTTTACACAATTTGACCACATATTATGAAAGATTTACATTAACATTTTTCTGTAACATTTACGTACATTACAAATAAATTATATATAAATATTGTGAAGAGATAGTTATTTCTTATATATAAATTAAACAAACGTGTAATGCAAGTTCACATAATGATTAAGACACTAAGAAAAATTTATGAAGGGCCATTCTTTTTATGTATCATTTAATCGAGGTTATTATTTTTACATAACATTTTAGTCAAATGTGATATTTACCATAACTAGATTTTATTATTTTACCAGAAATTATAAAATATTTACGTAACATTGTTCTATGATAGTTACGTAAGTTACACTTACGTACATTAAAAAAATACAAAGATGAAGGGATAATAATATCTTGGGTTAATATTTATGCCAATATTTTCGTATGGCCTGAACTTTGACCAAAATAAACATCCTGGCCAATCTTTTCGATCTATAACATCCTGGCCCGAACTATACACCAAAATAAACAATTTGGCCAAATCCGATGTTTGACCGTTAACTTGGACGGTCAGTCAAGATGCCACGTCACTGCCAAGTCAGCAAGTTTAAATTAAAAAAAATTCAACCTATTCCATTTTATTTCCTTACTCATTTTGAAGAAGAAAGAAAAAATAAAAAAAAACTTCCACAAAACGCAGGACCCCTGCCCTAACCCCCAACCCACATTCTTCCTCTTCTTCGTCTCGTCTCCTATCCTCCCTCTCTTCCTCCATCGCGACGGCCACCACCGATATTGTAAAGAAGGAAAGAATAGCCCGCCGCCTCCGCCGACATCGCTGTCGACGAACTGTGAAAAAACGCCAACGAAGGTTCCACTTCTTCCCGTTCGACGAACACAGGCACCATTCGTTGTAAAGTGCACAAAGCCCCTTGTGTGATCAATACATCTCGCACTAGCTTAAATCCTGGAAGAATGTTCTTCTCGTGTCCATATTGGAAGGTAGGTTGAAATCCAAGTTTAAATCTTTGTTTTCGACCAACTGGATCTCGATTCACGTCTTCCATTTCTGTAGGATGACAAAAAGAGTTGCCATTTTTTCCGATGGGTTGATGACGAGTCGGATAGTGACTCGAGGGTTGATGGATTGATGGAAGAGAATCATGAACTGAAATTGAAGCTTGGTGATATGGAAGCTCTAGAAGGCCGTGTTCGTAAAGTAGAAGAAAAGGCCAGGAAACGGAAAGAAGAAAAGGCTGCGATTTTAGAGGACTTGGGCAAGCTTGCCGAACTGAATTCTGCTATTTGTCTCGAACTGCGAAAGATGAGACATACAGTTTATGGCCTTCAAAAGAGGATGAATTTATGTTGATTTTGTGTGCTCTTCGTAGTCGTTGTTGTAATATTGTGTGGACCACTTCGTATGTAATGGAGATTTCATGTTAAAGAAGAATGGTGTTTGTAGTGGAGATTGAATAAAGCGTTTCGTTATAAGCGAGTTAGTACATTAACCAAACTTTCAATCACCATCATTTTAACATGTCCTAGCATGTACAAAATAAGGCAGAATTGTTGGTGTGCCATAAGTTTGGATTCTGAGTACCTAGCAAGAGTGACTCGAAGCTTTCTACATGTCCTAGCATGTACAAAATAGGTTCCTACTACTCCACATCTAAAGTGTGGAGTTTCCTACTACCTAAGCTACCAAGCTTTCTTCTAGCTTCCCTAAGGTATCTCTGGCTGAGTAGCAGGCGGTTGTGTAGCACCTACAGCAGGCACATCTGGTGTAGTAGCTTGCACATGTCCAACAGCCCCTGGAACCCTATTACTCATCTGCCAAAAAACAACGAATTAGCCTCTTACTAATTAAAACAGTAGATGATCCAACATGAGCCTACATAAAGCCTCTTGCCCTAGCATACATGTTGCCTGTGTTCTCATCAATATAAGTTCCAATTCCGCGCATTGCCATCCTCATTTCCCTATCTGTTACATGCCTACTGGATGATCCAACATGAGGAGCCTACATAAACATTCACAGATTCACACATAAATTCAATCACCATACTTTCACAGATTCACACATAAATTCAATCACCATACATGAATCGAATCATACACCATTCACACTGTACCTGAATACCAACATTCATAGGACATCTTCTTACGTTATGATACTCTGATGAACACTTTGAGCATCTGTTCTTCTTCCTTTGCTTGGGCTGAATTTATACGAATCACCATTAACGAAATGAAAACAAGAAAGTGAAGGAAAAAAATTTGTGGAGCGCTTAAGTTAAAACTGCAATTACCTCGTTGGTGGTGTTTTGGTCAGCAGTTACATTTCCTTGTGTCCTAGGTTGTGCTGCTCTTGACTTCTTTTTTGGAGGTTCTGGTGGCTTCCTTTGATTCTTGCAGGTTCTTTTGTTGTGACCATCTTTTCCACAATTGGTGCAAGTGATCACAAGGCTGTGTCAAGTAGCAACTTCCCCAATTCCATCTCTTGATGCTTTCCTAGTTACCTCCTACGACTCCCTCTTCCTTTTAGTTTTTGGACGTCCAGGCATCCGACGAATTTGTGGTGGATATACCTTGTATCCTTCCACTAGAAGCCATGCTTGTCGACCCTCTGATGGTGGGATAGGGTGCATGTAGGCACATTTTACTCGATTCATCAAGAAGTACTCATCCACAAAATCCTCCGGTTTCCCTCGCAAGTAAGTTATGGCAGCATGGTATTCCATTTAGCAACCAGAAACCACATGTGCAGCTACCCTTCTTGATGTTAACCCCAAAACCCTTGTCTCCTATGGTTACCTCATGCTTATCTTCTATAGAAGGGTGGCTGATTCATCTTATTTGTTTTATTCCAGTATATTTTTTCCTACTTGCTTTCTTGGTGGGATCCATTAGAATTCTAGCAAATACAAATTGGAAAACTTTTCCCCATTTTCTAAATCGAGTTTCTTTTCTTTGGGGACCGGAAATAAAAAAAAATCTCTCAAAACTAAGAAGTACTCATCCAAACTCTCATCAAGCTCAACAGTTTCAGCTTCAGCTCCACCCTCAATACTAGCACTATCCGAAGCAAAGTCAGCATGATGGTTGACATCCCACGCAAACAATTGATTCACTGAACTACCTTCACCATCAAGATCTGCTATAAATATTCTATTCCTTCTCCTAGCATCAGCTCTAATCTCATGGTATTCCTCGTAGGATGTCTGAGCATCATCGTCTAGCCGAACAAACTCAGGTGCAGCTGAATTGTCTCCAGATGCATCTTCCCCTTCAGGAAAATGGCCATAATTGTCTCCCATATAGCCCAACTCTCCGAGATCCCTTGTTGCCTCAAAGTACACCTTGATATCTCCAGTTCCAACCAAAGGCAGCAACCCAGTTAAAACCTCCACATCCGACACAATTTCATGCAATCCAGTCGCCATACTTTCCCCAGGTGTCAAGTACCATAGCCTCTCGACGGAAATATACTCCAAATCTTCAATCAAAGTCTTCGTCAATTCGAAGTAGGACAAGACATCACGATTCATATTGACGACATCGACAACCCCCAACGTACTGTGGAACACCCCCCGACATATCCATAGCGCCTCCATGATGCAGAATAAGCTCAACCATGTCGTCCATTCTAGCAAAGACAAAAAGAAAATGATACGAGATTACTTTAATCTCTATTTCCATTACTTTAATCTCAAATTCCATTACTTTAATCTCAATTTCCAGCTCTTAACCCGACAAATGCTAGTCGCGAGCATTAGTTTACTAGAAAGCCCTAATCCTTGTATGTATCGAGGATTAACAAAAGAATGGAAATGGAGAGAAGAAAGGGATTGATTGCTTACGTTGCTGGTTGGGAATACGATCTGTTGGTTGTGGTCCCTTTGGAATGTGGACCCCTCGTCGTCCTTTTTCACCAAGTCGTTATCGATGCACAAAGAGAAGCAGAAATCGAGAAGGAGCAGAAATCGCGAGGGAGGAGGGGGAAAATCTTCGCGAGGTAGAAGGGAGAAGGGTGGTAATCGATGGCGGTGGCGGCGGGCTCAGAAGAACGCCCGCCGCTGCATTTTAGTCGGTCAGGTGAGGAGGTTCGACGATAAAGGAAGGAGAAGGTGAGAAGTGAGAATGACGGGTGGATTCTGTTAGGGATGGCAATGGGTCGGGTTGGGTCGGGTTTTGTCAAAACCAAACCCAAACCCATGGGTTTATCCGCCAAAAAAACCCAGGGTAAAACCCATTGGGTTTGAAAAACTCAAACCCAACCCAACCCGCTGGGTATCCGCGGGTTCATGGGTACCCGTGGGTTTTTGTGGTAAAAATTTACAATAACAAGTTTCTTTCAAAATAAAAGTTTATCATCAATTTTCTCATACAAATTAATCATACAAAAACACCAATCTAGAGCATACAAGCAAAGCGCAAATGATCAATACAAATTATTCAAAATTAAAGATAAACATATATAAACAATAAGATTTATTGAAAGCTTCTTCCTCGTCAACTAAGTTTCTTCACTCTCCACTTCATAATATCAACTTCATTCTAAACAATTAGAAAGAACAAATTATACATATCTCCACAAACATATAGATATTAGTTGTTTAAGGAAGATATATTATTTAGAATATTAAATATACCGAGAAAGTAATTATATGTGTGGGCGGGTACCCATGGGGTGGGTTTACCTAAACCCAAAACCAACCCGACCCGATGAATAGTGTAGCGGGTTTAAACCCGAACCCGGCCCAAAACCCGTCAACACGGATTTTACCCGCGTTGACCGGGTTGGATCGGGTGGGTACCCGTGGGCTCGGGTTTTGTTGCCATCCCTAGATTCTGTGGATGGGGATGAAGCGATATGGATAAGGTAGGGTTAGGGCAGGGGTTCTGCGTTTTGGGGAAGTTTTATTTTTTTTTTCTTCTTCAAAATGAGTAAGGAAATAAAATGGAATAGGTGGAATTTTTTTTTAATTTAAACTTGCTGACTTGGCAGTGACGTGGCGCGTTGACCGTTAGTCAACGCGTTTGACCGTCCAAGTTAACGGTCAAATATCGAGTTTGGCCAAATTGTTTATTTTGGTGTATTGTTCGGGCCAGGATGTTATTGATCGAAAAGATTGACCAGGATATTTATTTTGGTCAAAGTTCAGGCCATACGAAAATATTAACCCTAATATCTTATATATTAGTTAAAAACATATGACGTATGTTTTTATAATGATTAAGGTATTACGTAAAATTTATGGGAGGATAGTAATTTGTTATGTATCAATTAAACGAGCTCATTATGTATGGAGCGGTAAAATGCGTATAGATCAGAAAGAAGACCACAGCCCTCCTTTTCAGTTAGGTTCCATTCTTTGGCTTCGTGAATCCTTTCTTCCCTAATCAAATTCTTCCATTATATAAGCTTGAATGAGAATTTGTTTATTATTACACAAAGATTCTGTAAATTAAGTTATACTTTACATAACAATTTAATCAAATGTGACATTTTCCTAATTTGATTCCTTTATTATTAACTGGAATTTCTTCAATATTACCTAAAATATTTATCTTGACATCAATTTGTATTACACAAAGTTCCCTTACATCAGTTAACTTTTACATAACAATTTAATCAATTGTAATACATTTCATAACTTGATTTTATTTCTTAGACCACACATTAAAGAAAATTTATGTAACAACATCATGTAACAGTTAGATAAACTACAAATATATTAAGTAAAACATATGGAGGCATAGTTATTTATTATCTATCAATTAAACAAATGTATTACATAAGTCTTCTTAACGATGAAGATATTATAGAGTGACAATATTTATCAATTAAACAGACGTACTACGTAATTATTCAGTAAGGATTAAGACACTATTAAAACTTCTGAATGAATAGTTATTTCTTATGTGTCACTTAAAGAAACTTATGACGTAATTCTTTCGTAATGATTTAGACACTACATAAAGTTTATGAATCGGTTAATTAAACAAACTTATGACGTTATTTTTTCATAATAATTCAGGCATTACTAATGAAGGTATATTACTTGAACTTTTTGAACTAATTGATTTCAACTAAACTATTAATTAAACTAGCTTATAACCCGGCCCTTTGGCCGGAATGCTCATATTTGATTATTTGTATTTTTATGTTACTTTTAACTTTTAAGTCTATTAACCCGTTTAATTTTATTGATAATTATTCGATCGAGATGATACATAAAGAAATAATATATAGGTCGATTATTCGGAGAAATATCATAATCATTTAAAAATATAAAATATAAAAATGTAACATTGAGCCCATTTTCATAATGCTAATTAAGTCCCTGTTAAAATGCTATTGGTTAGTTTTCTTTGACAATCAAGAAATATAGAGTATAAAAGCTCACTGAAATTCTCACACTACCCATAGATAGTTTGAAACTAAATCTTAAACCTCACAATCCTATATAAAGGGTTCAATGCTCTCCTTTTAGAAACAATATGTCACTAATCAAAAAGAAATAGAGACTTGTTGATTCAAGTCATCTATATACTAAAAACTCAGCTAAGAGGGGACCATCACAACTTGAGAGCAAACGAAAAATCAGGGTTATCTCCAATATACGAATAGACTCGATCAAAGTAATAAGGCGCAAAATTAGACACTCCTTATCTATTAGTTCTAGTAGGTTGAATAAAGAATTCAAACAATCAATCAATGATTCCTCGTTTTAAGATAGAAATAGGTTATGACAGTTGCAAAAACCATAAACCTAAAGATCCAATAGCCATCACTCTCCGTTGTACAACCAAATTTCTATCTCAAGAGGCATATATTCAACCAAAAATTCAATTTCTAATCTTTCTTCTACAACTTCAGTTATTGATGAACTCCATTCTATTCACCACGAATTGATATCGGAGTTGAAATCTTCTACTCGCCCAGCTTAAAATCCCCAACAATAAAACCGTAGTGCCAAGAGATACCTGAAGATTGATTTTCAATAACAGTCTTGTTCTGGGAAGTGAAAGGCGCAAACTATTGCACGATGGATGAAATTTCGGAGGAAGTTAGAAAGAGAAAAGAACAAAGATAAAAAAACACAAAATTTAAATTGAAAAATGCGAGGATACAACAGTAGTTACATAATTAGTTTCTTCCATGTTGGCCAATTACTCATTTACCTTTAGCAAAAATTAAGGAGAGAGCGGAAATTTAAAATTGAGAAAATTACATGAAACTCTACTATAAAAATAGAAGTATCAAGCTTGATAAAAATACATACGGTAGACTTAGTGAGCTTGCTAATTATGATGAAAAAGTCCTCTGATTTTCAGAGATTAACTTTGTCTATTTTTTGTATAGAAAAGGATGTAATAAATTTGTTTAGTGTAACTGGTTGTGCTTGTTATCTTTGTTTGAAGAGACCCGGGTTCAAATCTTGATATTGTAATTTTTATATGAAATAAATAATAAATGTGTAAAGACAAAAATGACCTTCCTACTTTCACTCTCGTTGCAGGAAATTTGAAATGGAGAAAAGTACACAAAACTCTACCATATATTAATGGAGGATTAATACTAAATAGTTAGTTTCTTGCCGCGGGGAAAAGCAGGCAAAAAAACTAGTCAATTCAATTGGAGAAGTAATCATAAATGAAGGGACTGGCTTGGCGGCGACAGCTGGAAGTTTGACGCGTTTACATAGTTACGGAAGCTTACTAGGTGGAGGTCAGTGGTGTATGATGTGAATTAGATGGTTGTTTGTTGAAACATGAACAAGTTTAAATAAGGTGTCTCTTGTGGTTTTCCCAAACTAATTGGCAATTTAGCATGTTAATCTATAAGTTTATTAGACTCTTGAAACTTCATTTAATATATTTTTTTATTCAATTCTAAAAATCTTCAAGCTCTGTAGTATGAATGTGGATCAATGAACGATGAGAATTTAGTAAGCAGTTGGATTTTTTTATTTGATTTGTTAGGGGATTATTGTTGGAAGGCATTTATATATGACTATTTCCTGGAATGACAATATAGTTTGCTAGATAATTAACTGCGCAATTCTTTTAGGATGAAAGAGATGATTAATCAGAGCAAAGTAAGCTCCGATTGTCGAGTTTTATGACTCTTCTTTGATGTAGTTGTGACTAAGAAAAGAGGTATAGGACTGCCGAGATTAGTTCTTAATGCCATCAGATAGCTCCAGCAAGAACCTCTAAGCAATAAGAACAGCATATTACGCCAGAAACTATTTCCACTATGACATGAAGTTACCAGTTTGTAACAGACAAGTAATATCTAAAACATGGCAAAGCTTCAAAAGCAGGCTGAACTTTTTCAAGAACCTAAAGCATAGACTATTGACAAGGTAAAGGTTATCAGTTCTTTCATATTCCATCCTTGTACCAAAAATGTTAATTATCTAACAAGACAAGGGCTAAGGAACAAATTAAAGTAGTGAATTATAACACTAAATTATATTGGTGATGGTTGATGTATAAGGCTAGGCATGTGCATAAGACTAAGACGACCATGTATAAAAATAGCAAATCCCATGAGATGTGCTTCTTCATTGGTTAAGCTAAGAATACAGACTTGACATCCTTTCTTAACATGTATGCTTTTTCATTGTTTCATGATCCGAGGTTCTGTAATAAGGTACCTTCATTGCTTCCTAGGTCATTTCCAGATTTTCTTCCTTGACAAAGTTCGTAAGGTATCCTGGGGTAATTCTCTCAACAGTTTATGCAATGTTTGATCTATGTTTTCCATAATTTTTATTCATATAAAGGAAGTGTATTGATAAAATTTTCATCTATATTTAACTACCTATTTCACATGCATAATGCAATGGAATGTGAACCTTAAATTTCATGGGTTGAGTGGATGTTGGGGGCTTCTGGATTTTCTTATGCTGTGCTACTGCTGAAGCTCGGTTAGCAGAGTTTGTTTCTCCACCTGCCTTTGTTTTTGGTTGTGTAATTGAAGTCAATCTTCGAGTTCGTTAGGTTTTGGTGATATTTAAATCGATGTATTGTCATCAATACATGTATAATAATATACATGTATATAAGAAAATTTGTGTATTTTAGTTTACATCGTTTGGTTTCTGTGATAATTATTGTAGTATTTAAATAAATTAAATTACTCTTTTGGGTGAAATGTCACTTTTACCTTTTGTTTTTAATATAAAAAAGCAACACACATAAAAAGGTAAGGACATATTTGGAAGAAGAAGAAAACACACCAATCTCCATCAAACAATCTCAATGAAAACATAAGATTTAACTATCACTCATTTTAAGTGATAGTTTGTGTCAAATCAAGCAAACAATGAATGTATTGTTTGCGCAGAAAATTCAAAAAATGATGTATTGTGGACATTACATACATTGTAACTATCCCAACCAAACTATCACCAAAACAAAACGACCCATTTCATACTTTTCCGTTTCCCTTAGGAAATGTATACCGGTCTCACCATAATCTTAAAAAACAACTATGTAGTTTCAATGTCTAATTGTGTTAGTTTAAACTATATAAAAAGAGTTAGTTTACATTATAACGTATACATTAATCGTGGTAGGTTTGATTCATGATCTACCCTCTTTGAACTCTCACAACGATGATGAAATTCACTATACATGTACAATATGAACCACAAATCATAAAAAAATTTAGGATAAAAGACTTTAATAATGTCTAGTTGATCAACTACTTTGCAAAACTATTAGGTTCCACTATGAAGTATTTAATCATATATAAAACATATTTGTGGACAATTTAGTTACAATCCAACAAATATCATCAACTTTTAACTATTACATTCATGAAATGAATAATAAATTATTTTTTTATTCATTAAATTCATTAAAATGATATCATTAAACTTAGAATGCGTAAGTCGATTATACCGGTCATACCGATGGTGTCATACCGGTTTCATGACCGACACAGGTTGAACCGGGTGGCATGCCACCGGCATGACAACCATGCCAAGAAGCAACAAGAATGCTAGACTTCAAGTTCCTTCATGCCTCTGATACTTACAAGGCGACACCAACAAGATGAACAATCGACAACCCCTAACGACAAGAGGATTAAGCATACATATCCTTAAGTCGACATTGAGAGCCGAAAAATATGGAAACCCGAGGAGTTACTTTTTAAGTATTTCCCACAGTTAAATGAATCCTGGCTGGCAGAGCCAGCAGATCGGTTGGATTATGGATCTTGATACATTGCAATGATCATGAGAACAAAATGAGCCCAAAAATGGGCTCCTGGGTGTAACTCTGTATAAGGAAAGGAAAACTATCTTCATCATCCGGATTATCACATGACAAGTAGATTAAGCACAATTTTACAGAACTACATGATGAATGAATGTAGGTGTTCTTATAACAACAAAACAATAAAGCAAACTAGAAACAAGTTAGAAAGAGTACCAACTTGTACGCAGTCGTTATCAGGAAACTGTCGCTGCAAGTTTGAGCAGAGAGCAGAAGTGTGTTCCTTCCTAATCAGAGCTCAAATTCTTCATCCTTCAAGGCCATCTCAGCTGCCTCTTCTTCTTCTTCATCAATCACAAAGTACTCATTCTTCTCTAAGGGCCTAAACATATAGAACATCACTGCATAAAACAGCAAACTTGCTGCTTCCTCCGCAGCATTGCTCACCCATTGATACTTATATGCTGCAATGGTCTTCAGTGCAAACACTACGATTCTAGTGAAGTACAAGTAGCCGATAACGAGGATGTAAAACTGCCTAAACAACTGCAATTTTGCTAGATTCCTTGCTGCTTTCCCGTCAGTCTTGGACGTTTCCCTCAACGAACGAATTGACCAGACAATAGGGAAGATTATGGCACAGCAGCAGATTATGTCAACCAACAAGAACACCTGATTCCAGGTGACCCAATCTCTAATGAATGGCCCTGTCTCGCCAATCACCACAGAAGCCACATTTGCCAATACTTGCAAAGGGATCACAATCATCAGCACCTTCTTCTCCTTCTCTTGCAAAAAGGGCTTCAAGAAGGACCACCCAGTACCAATCAACACTATGACAGTGAAGAGCAACACGACACGAAGAAACTGAAAGAAATAAAACAGCACATCCCACCCATGAGGGGTACCAGTGACCTTCACGTAGTGCTTGTCCTCCGCAGCACAGATCAAGTTAAGAGCTTTCATCAGAAGCAATCCAGCCATCAACAGATGGATCCGATGCACAGACCTCTTGTTGGTGAGGCAGAGGTAGATCCAGAAACCCATGAACATGAGGTAAGCAATGGAGCAGACGGTATACAGAGAAGGCAATTGCGTCTGCCCAGCGGAGAGGAAATCTTTGGACCCATCGCCATCGACGTTATAAACATCAGTGCGGACATGCATGGAGACCTTGGTCTCCGGGGCGCAGTTGGCGAAGAAGAGAGAGTACTCATTGGGATGAGGGATAGGGTAGGATTGGTTAAAGGAAGAGAGCGGGGGCGGTGAAAGGTCGCGAAAGCTGAATAGATTGAGGACGTACTTGGATCCGAGGACGCAGAAATTGGGGTTTTGCTGGATCTCGAGCAGGATCTGCAGCAGAGACTCTTCGGAGAGGAGGAAGAAACCCAAACCTGAAGGGTCCGGATTGGGAGCGTTGATGGAGGAAGAGACGGAGACGCTGGAGACTGAGATCGTGACGTGGCCGGTGTGTGTGAATCCGAACTTCTCGAAGAGAATCATCGGCCTGGGGTCGTTGGAAATCGTTAGGGTTTTGATCTCGGCGGAGACGATGGCGATGAGGGAGACGGCGGCCAAGGCGAGGAGAGACGCCGGAGGCTTCGTCATTTTCTCTACGGCCGGGGGGCGATGGAAGAGATCTACCGGTGGCGATGGAAGGATTGTGGAGCGGAATCAAAGTTTCGTAGTGAAACGATTTGCCTTGCGAGTTGCGACCCCCGATGGAAATGGAAATGGAAATGGGAATTGAGTGACATATTCGTGGGGGGTTGAACGATGTCGCATCAGATTGCATTTGCGATTTTTGTACACATTTTTTGTGCCGAGACGGCAGTCAAGGTAGGCCAGTGATAGCCCAAATATGCGGGTCGCCCACACACGAAACCCAGTCCGGATTTCAAAGCAAAGGGGCCCATCCGAAGTTAGCTGGAGCCTTAAGCCCTTAACCTCGATCTCTACGGGTCGTTTTGATGGATCAATTCAAAAGCGAGATAATTAGGTCATTGTCTCATTTTACAAAAAAAATAGGTTGTCGTTTGGATGAGGAATTGTAACGGATCAATTTGACACAATTGTCTCTCGTTTTGAGACAATTGTATCAAATTGCCTCGTTTGCCAGCAAAAAAATTGGATGGATCAATCTGCCTGAGGTATTTTGAATTGATCCGTTTTGAGTCAATTTCAATTACCTGGGGTGAGGGCAGGTAATTCGAATTGACTCGTTTTAATTGCCTCGTTTATAAAACGAGACAATTGATCAAATTGACTCATTTATAAATTGATCCATCCAAACGACCCTAGTTAATTCGAATAGTCATCCCCTCCCCAGACAATTGTAAATTGTAATTGCCTCAAAATGAGTCAATTTGAAATTCCTCAGAATTAAATGCTTTATCTAAATTTTGTGCTGCCAAACTGATCAATTTAGCCATGTTGACTCATAATGAGACAATCTGGCCAAATTGATCCGTTAGAATTCCTCATCCAAACGACCGCTAAAATAAAGCCCTGCTTCAAAGAACGATGGCCCAGTTCTCGAAGTAGTAAAAATTATCTTCTTACATCTTAATGTATTAGGATTAGTTGTTAAGTGTTGGGAAGCAGTGTGGTATGGACCAGATCGGATCATACATAGAGTCTATGGTCCAAATCGAGAAGTTGGATTATAGGTTATGGACCAGGCCAAATATTACAGGGTCCTGACCAGATCATACATGTGCGGTCTTGACCATGTAGATCACATTGAGCGAAAAATGAAAATTTGGTTTGGTGAACAACATGAAAAATCAAACCAAATATCAAGAAAGAATTCTATTTTTCCCTTAAAACATAAATGTCAACACGAGTGTATAATTTTGATACCATAACTCCAAGTAAATTTAAAATACACAAAATTAGAGGAACTCATTAGGGGAGGAGTTTTGTAGCTAGTGACATGAGGCATTAGAGAATCATTTCTCTTCCAACAGAGCGACTCGTCTGACTTAGAGAAAAATCGGATACTAGAAGCAAATCAGCATTGATGACACTCAAATTATAGTGTTTATCACTCCCTATTAAACTCCTTTGTCCCTGATGACACATAAATAAGCGTTTTCGTGGCAGGTTTTCCACATTTTTACATGGATTTAGTCATATTGACTTGGATTTGTTTGGTAGTTACTTAAAGATGTTTTTTAGTAGCCTCTAGAGATGTTTTATACTTTTGATACTTTTTGGGTAGTATTATATTCCTTTTTGGGCGATAACACCATAATGGACCACCTTGTACAAGTTGGAGATGATATGATCCTGTCGTAGAGGAAATACCCGACTATAATGGGCAAATATCCGACCAGGTATTTTAGAGTCGAGACCGGGTATTTTGGAGAGAGACGGGTAATTGAAGCAAAAGCACCCCCGGCCGGTGAAGCTAAATACCCGACCATGTACTCTGATCCTGCCGATTTTTGTTACCTTTTTCATGTAGAATTCTTTTCCTTTTTGGTGTTTTCACTAGGTTTATTTTCCATACCTAATTAAAGGATTGTAAGATTATTCTCATGTAGAATTCTTTTTCTTTTTGGTGTTTTCATTAGGTTTATTTTCCATACCTATTTAAAGGGTTGTAAGACTATTCAGATTATTCAGACTTTGATAATGGAAAAACCTTTTTAGGTTCATTGAGTTTTTACTCGTGGATTTTGTCCTTCTTTGTTGGTGGATCTCCAGCATTCGAGCAAGCTTTGTATCACTCACGTATTCTGCTTGATTGTGGTCGAGTTTCTATCTTTATATTGTTCGAGCCTCTTCCCGCTTTGCGTTGAAGTTGCACGAAAATTCCGTCCTATCCTTTATTTTTTGAGTTATTGAGAGAAAATATCAGAAAAACCCTAAACAGATCGAAGCTGCGCGACTTTTACAAAAGAACCTAGGGTTTCACGAGCCCAAATTCTTATCAAGTGGTATCAGAGCCTGGTTCAAACTCAGCGTCGATTTGAGGTATTTTTATTTCGTTTTTAATGTTCACGCTACTGTTCACAAAAAAAAAAGAGTTGAAAAAAAATTGTTCATCAGCCACAAAGTTGAATGTGGGTTGAAAAAAAAAGTATATATATATTATCTTGGATTTTGGTTTGTGTATTTTTGGTTCAAACCAAGGAGCCCAACATTGACGATGCTATGAGAGAGCTATTAGCACAGATGGCTCAGGTGGGAACTATGCTTCAAACCATGGCAGAACTAGGGATGGCAATTTCGACCTGACCTGTTTTACCCGACCTGTTTGGCCTGTTTTGGGACGGGCCCGACCTGCTCCGTAGGCGGGGCGGGGCGGGCATGGGTTCTCTCATCGACCTGACCTGCCCTGACCTGCCCCATTCTCGACCCGTTCTTGCCTAGTTTACATGTAATTTTAGTCAAATTACTTAGGATTTTCCTTTTATTACATCATATTTTAGCTATAATAAAGTTGTAAATTAGAGAAAAGCTCAATTTCTCTAGTAATTTAACTACATTTATCATAATATTATTTGTTTTCTTGGTCTTATAATAAAAATAACAAATATTTATAATATTTTTCATATAAATTGCATACCCATTGGGTCGACCTGCCCCGATCCGCATCCGTGATAAATTAACCGACCTGAACCCGACCTGCCACGGGGCGGGTCTGGGTACCAAGAAAACCGCCCCGGACCTGCCCCATTGCCTATCAACAGAGTTCGAGTTATGAGGAGGAGCAACCGAATCTGGAAGCAGCAAAATCATCGATCTACTGTCCAGAATTGCAGAAGGAAGATGGAGATTCCTGCAAGCTGGTTGCGGTGGTTTATCGCAATCCTTTTTATGATGATCTTTCTTGTAGAATTCCACAAGCATTGAGGACTTTTGCTGCGAAACGAGGCACGAGGACTGCCAAGCTAGCAGAAGGGGTTCGAGGCTTTTATGGAGAAGAGCATAGGCTTAATGTTCATCTTTCTGTGGATGACTGTCTTTTCTATCACTGGAAGTACAGGAAGAAGAGACAAGAAGACGATGAACCTGGCTGGAGGACTCTAGAGAATTTCATTTCGAAGCCAGGATGGAAAGCTTTGAGGGCAAAGGTTCTTCAACGGGGAGGGACTGATATGATCCTGTCGCAGAGGAAATACTCTACCATAATGGGCAAATACACGACCGGGTATTCTAGAGCCGAGACCAGGTATTTTGGAAAGAGATGGGTGATTGAAGCATAAGCACCCCCGGCCGGTGCAGCTGCAATTCCCGACCGGGTATTCAGATCGGGTTTTTGGTCCTGCCAATTTTTGTTACCTTTTTCGTGTAGAATTCCTTTCCTTTTTGATGTTTTGATTAGGTTTATTTTTCATACCTATTTAAAGGGTTGTAAGAAAATTCAGATTATACAGACTTTGATAATGGAAAAAGCTTTTTCGGTTCATTGATTTTTAACTCGTGGATTTTGTCCTTGTTTGTTGGTGGATCTCCAGCATTTGAGCGAGCTCTGTATCAATCACGTATTTCGCTTGATTGTGGTCGAGTTGCTACCTTTATATTGTTCGAGCCTCTTCCCGCTCTGTGTTGAAGTTGCATCACAATTCCGCCCTATCCTTTATTTTTCGAGTTCTTGAGAGAAAATATCAGAAAAACCCTAAACAGATCGAAACTGCGCGATTTTGACAAAAGAACCTAAGCTTTCACGAGCCCGGATTCTTATAAGGAAACATAAGAAAAAACGAGTTGGATCACAAAAATTGGGATGGATCTCAAGCCCAAAAATGACGGTCAAATTGTCTATCGAAAGTCAAAATGGTGCCTCAAGTGTCATGTTCCAGAAGGTTCAATTTGACTCAATTTTATTGGATATTTTTGCAACAAAAGAAACCAATGTGATTTGGTCATTGTTATAAGAACTAAACCGGATCAATGGGTGGGCCACTAGAACCGCCAAACTAGTTACAATAACAGTCCGATTCATTGCATGGATGGTTATTGATTGACCAAACAGTTTTCACGGTTCAACATAAAAACAAATGAGTCACTTCCAATTAACTGGTCTATTGTTTAATTATTTTAACAAGGAATTTTTTTTCAATTTTTTTTACGTCAATTTAGACCATAAAATCAAAATTATTAATTTTATTTCTTCTTTCTCTTCTCATTTTCCAATCTTGTTGTCGACTTTACGTGGTCCACCACTGACTTGCACCATAATTTTTAACTTCAATTAAAAAAATTATGATTTCTTTTTATTAGATGGATTGAATGATTAAATATAAATCTTCTCTCTCTTCTTCTCTCTCTTCTCTCTGATCGTTCGAGGTTCGACCACTAATTCCAAATGGCGACCGTCACCGGCAGAGCTTCCTCGCGCGCCGTCGGTGACGGGCGCACTTGGGCGTCGCTCTTCTCGTTTAATCCGGACCTCAAGTTGGATTCTTACGAACTGGAGTTTGTCAATGGTTTGTTGAGGATTCCCAAATCGGTTCTCGAAGAGGGATCTAAGCGATGGGTTCACTGCTTAGTCGGACAGTTTCTTGATCGGCCAGCGTCACTCTCTTCCATTCACTTTTGGGCGAACTGGATCTGGGGGTGTAATGGAGCTCTTCGTGTTTCATGGTTGGGGGAGCGTCTGGACCTTTTTTAATTCCCGACTGTGGAAGTCTGTCGTTGGGTTTTCGAAGGAGGGTCATGGCATCATCGTGAGAATATGCTATTTCTTCGTAAATGGGAACCAGGTATTCAACCTCTTGCCATTGATAACTCGGTGGTTCCGGTTTGGGTTAGGCTGTTGACTC